AAAAAAAAAAAAAAAAGAGCCTAGAAATGCATGACTACCAAGCCCTATGTTGGACTCCAGGGCAGTACGATGAAGAAACCAGGCTCAGGCTCCACTCCCTTGAAGCCTGCTTCCAGTGAAGCAGCCATAACGCAGCAACCACATCAGTGAGTTCAAGCTTCTTTCCTTACTCTAGGGGAAAATAATTTGGTTCCATGAGCCTGCAGATAAAGGAACCTGGTATAAGCCTGGGAGTGAGTTGGGATTCTCAAACTGAGAGGTAAAGAATAAATAGGAAATACCTAAGCAAAGGGCAGAAGGGGAAGTGCTTTCCAGAGAGAAGGAGCACCTGCAAAGTCCTGGGGATAGGTGGACTAACACAGAGCTTAACAGAGATCACTGGGGCTGGACGACCTACAGTAAGGTAGTGAGTGGGGAGGAATAGGGTCCAGATCACATGAGATCTTTTTTTCAACTCTTCCTTTTGTTGATTTAGTTCTGGGAGGTGCTACCACAGATGTCAATCTCTGGTTGTGCTGTCTGTTCTTGTTGGTTCTCAGTCCACAGAACTCCCTTTAGGATGTTTTGTAGCGCAGGGTTGGCTTTGGAAAAATCCCTTAGCTTCTGTTTATCCTGGAATGTTTTGATTACACCATCGTATTTGATTGATAGCTTTGCTGGATAAAGGATTCTTGGTTGAGAGTTTTTTTCTTTCACGGTTTTATATATGTCTCCCCATTGCCTTCTTGCTTGCATGGTTTCTGCTGAGAGATCCGAGCTTAATCTGACTTGCTTGCCTTTGCATGTAACACATCTGTTTTCTGTAGCTGCTTTCAGGAGTATCTCCTTATCTTTGATTTTGGAGAGCTTGATTATGATATATCTTGGTGATTTACTTTTGGGGTCTATCCTTCCTGGGGTTCATTGAGCTTCCTAAATGTTTATCTTTTCACTTTTCAGGATGTTAGAGAAATTTTCTTCCAGCAGTTCTTCAACTATTTCCTTTGTGGACTTGTGTGATTCTTCTTGTTCCGGAATGCTGATAATTCTTAAGTTATTCCTCTTCATGTTGTCCATCATGAATCTCAGACCTTCTTCAGATTTATCTTTTTTCTGTTTGTTCTTCTATCTTAGTGGTATTGAGAGATTTGTTTTCCAGCTCACTAGTTCTGCTTTCCATCTCTTATACTCTACTCCTTTGCCCTTTCAGTGTATTGTCTATTTTTGATATTCTATTATTGATCCTTTGGACCTCTTTATGTAGGTTTTGAATTGTTTCCAATGCTGTATCTATCTTATTTAATTGTTCCTGTAGTGCTTTCCTGACTTCTTCCTTATTTTTCTCAACTCCTTTATAAAGTGTTTTGAAACATTTTATAATTATTCTTCTGAATTCCTTCTTAGGCATTTCCAAAGCCTGCCCTCCTTCCAGAATGGAGTCCAGGTCTACCTCTAGGTCATTTGTCTCAGATATTTCTCTTGTTTCTGGACATGTGCTGATATGGTCATCTGCTTTTGCTTCTTGGACATGTTTAATGTTTATCTGTGGCCTTAATACTTAATTGAGTGTGTTTTGGTACTTTTCATGCTGATTGCCTCCAGGTAGATGTGATCAGGATGTGGGCTTCCCTTTTCACTCTTCTTATTGCTTAACTCAGAGAACTTTCACAGGTGTTGTCTGCCTCCCTGGTATATGGCAGTTGGTATTGGTTCTTACCTGGATTTTCGTGTTTTATACAGTGTGATTGTAACTTGACTATATGGCAGCAGTTGTTGTCTCTTCTTGGGTAATATTGGGTAACATAGGGAGAGAAAGAGTCCCCCAAAGGTAAAAGGGGGAGCATAAAACAGCACCAGCAAAAACAAAACAAAACAAAACAAAAAAACCACCAAAACAACAACAACAAAAGAACTAGACTGGATACTATAGTCTATAATCACAGAAAGGGTAAAGGAGGGAGAGAAGAAAAAAAAAAAAATCTGTAGCCTAATATGAGTATGACTTTAGTGTCCTCTTTCAGCTTCTTGCCTTCAAGGCTGTCTGATAGATTTCAAGATGCCACTGTTGGTTGTTATGCTATACTTCAGGATTTAATTTAATATTTGGCCTGTTTTGTTTTTAAACTCTCTTTCCCTCTCCACACCCCTTGTTCTGGCCTTTTCCCTCATGTGAAAAAAACCACATGAGATCTTTTAAACCAGGATATTGATTTTATTCTTTATCCTTAGAGATATATGGAGCTTTTTAAGGCCATTAGACAATGCTGGGCCAGAGAGAGCGTAGTGGGCAGGATGTAACCAGATCTGCACTTTACCAAACCAGGTCTGGAGTGAGGTGGATAGAATCCAAAGTGGATCTGGGGCCCAGGGAGCAGATGTTGCAGCAGTCCAGGGAGATGAGGGTAGATTGGCCTGGAGTAATGTAAAGGGAATGGAGACAGAGGGAAGGAGGTACAATTGACATAACTTGTAATGACTGAGTGTATCAGTCTTCCTAGCAGCTATTGGATGGGCTTTGACATCCTCTGCTAAACTAGGCAGTTCTGGAACAGGACCAGGCTTGGCAGGGGAAATAATGCATTCAGTCTTAGAAAGGTTGAGCTTAATGTGTTTTTGGGATACCTGACTCAACGCATTGTCATCGATTCAAGTATGTCCCCTAGCATCAGAGTAGAACTCCATAGAGTGTTCCAAGCTTGTTATCTTTGTGAAAACAGACTGACACATCTTTCTCTCATGAAGCTTCTGGTGGCCTCAAACCTCCAACCTTTTGGTTAGCAATCAGCAAGCCAAATCAGCAGTTCAATATGTATATTTATGTCTGGAGGCCAAAGAGAGATTTGCACTAGGTATAAATACTTGATGGTTATCAACATACAAATATAATAATGAGAGCAGTAAACTCATTTTGTCTAGTTATCTAGCGCATAATTCAACATTTATCTAGCCAGGCCAGTCCCTATAAAAGAACATCATGCTTGGTAAAGTGAAGAGTCAATGAAAAAAGAGAGACTCCCAACAAGATGGACTGATAGAGTGCCAACAACAATTGAGCTCAAACATAACAATTGTGAGCATGGCACAGGACCAGGAAGTGTTTCGTTCTGTTGTGCATAGGGCTGCTATGCATTGGAACAGACTCAATAGTAACTGACAACAACAGACTATATGCTTAACTTTATATTTAAGTTCTGATGTTGGTATAGGTCAAAGCGCTTGGAGATCAAGTTCACAGTGGGACAAGAGTAGGATTGTGAAATTCAAACATTTATTTGCCAGGTTGGAAAATACCCAAGGGTGGGGAAAAAAGCCAAGGGTATAAGGGAATCATGTGTTTTAAGGCACTTCAAAGAAATGCTGTTGGGGGGTCATAGAGGAATGGAACTGAGCACATCCTTCCAATTGAGCTACATGGGACCACTGGTGGCCTAGGCCAGAGTTCTTCCTATGGAGAATGCAGAGAAACCAGATATGGCAGGGAATTGGGGAGTAAATGGGGCGAGTGGTTCAGACAGGTCTTTTAAGAAAGCTGGTAGTAAAGGGGTGGAGAATGTTGGAGGGAAGTTTAAAAATAGAAGACATAGGATATGTTTACATGTTGAAAGATATTGTTGGCTATACCAGAAGAAGCAGTAATTGAGGCTCTAGAGAGAAAAGGAAGGAAGGACCAGATAGAGGATTCCGATTGGTAGGGAAGGGAGTCCCACAGCTTAGGCATTGGGATAGTAAAGGGGATTTCAATTGTCTCTTATAGATCATCTGCAGAGAATGAGTGGAAGTTAGTTATGGATTTACAGTAGTGGAATTACTACTGGGAAGAGCAGGAAGGGTAGAGCAGAGAAACAGTGGCTGTGCTCACAAGTGTAGGAGGCCCATCAGGCCAGTGTCTGGAGCATTTCCTGCAAAATGAATTGTTCCCCCCAGAGAAGTTCCCCAGCCTGGCTCAGCCTCTCAGCTGCAGAGGGAGAAGAACCAGGGGAAACGGGATTATGTAGTTCTGGGTTTGTGAGATGTGTGAGAAAAGCAGAGAAGCAGGGGTGGTTTCGGTACTGACAGAGAGTGTTGAAAACTAAGAAAGATGAGGATGAAAGTAAACGTGAAGGCACTCAAGGACTACCTAGTATAAGGTTTTCTCTTAAGAAAGAAACCAATTATGTTTTTATGAGAAAACAACACACACACGCACATACTTTGCAACTTCAGACTTGTTCCCTGAGTCACTGGTAAGAGCTGAAGAGCCAAGTGAATTTCTTGAGTGCTGCCCTTTAGGCCATTACCACTCCTTTCAGAAACAAGGGTGTGAGGAGAGAGGAGTAAACTTGTTGAAGCTCAAGATGTTTGTCAAACCTGCCATAATGTCTGTCAAGTCCTGACAGCCACCCAATCCCCACCAGTTATTTATGGTATTCCTTAATATTCATGAACTGAATTTCTGCCCTACATAGGCAGGCCTAAGGAAGGGCTGTCAAAATCCTTCTTAGAAAGTACTTACCAAATTTACAGGACCTGGTTTGGTTGTATATTAAACCCATGGGGATGTGCCAGCCTGCAGACGTGCCAACTGCGGGGTGGCAAGACTTCTTGCCTCTCAGAGTGGTCCAGGTGAGGTCAGCATCTGATTTCTTAACCACTGCTACAGCGTAATAACCTTGCAACAGAGATACCAAGATGCAATTTTCAGAACGCTGGGGTTCCTCAGAAAACGTGCTCTAGCGCTGCTGCACCTAACTGTGCACACCATTTCCCTGTGGAGGGGGAGTATCTGGAATCCCTCATCTCACCAGAGGATCCTCCCACCAGTTATTGTTATTAGGTACTGAACCAAACATATGTTTGTTATCTGATAAGTACTGGACTGCAAACCACAAGTTTCATAGTTCAAGCCTGCCAGCTGCTCTGTGGATGGGGCTTTCTGCTCCAAGCCTCGGAAATCCTATACAGGGTCACTGTGAGTCAGAATTGACTCATGGCACTGAACAACTCTTCATATATGTTTAAATATATACACGTATGTATTTATACACACAGAGTCCTGATATGGTGCTGTGGGATAAAACACTGGACCACAAGGTCAGTTTGAACTACAAGGTCTGTGGTTCAAACTCACCAGTCAGTCCTTGGAAACCCAATACAGGGTCACTATGATTCGGAACCAACTCGACATCACTTAACAACAACAACACATTTCACACTTTCTCAATGGAATCTTGCTATAGATTCTTTTCTGCAAGTGGCTTCATTCCTCCTCATTATATACTGTGCAAACCATAGAGCTGTGTTCCTGTTTATTGGTTAAATCGGTTATGATCTGCTATATGGATGGGCCATATTGTAGAATCCTCCTACTGGTGGGCATTTATATGGGTCTAATTACAAACCATTAATCTGTATAAACCTTTGTTTATATAAATGTTGTTGTTGTTAAGTGTCATGCAGTCGATTTCAACTCAGCGACCCTGTATAGGGTTTCTGAGGCTTTAAAACTTTTTCTGGAGCAGAAAATCTCAACTTACCCCCATAGAGCAGCTGGTGGGCTCAAACCACCAACCTTGTGGTTCTCAGTCCAGTGCTTATCCTATGCATTTAAATATTTTTGTTGAATAGAACTCCAGAAGAAAGAACTTTAATTACATCTTTTTCTAAATTAATTCTCTTTCTAGATTTATAATATCTTTGCCAATAATAACAATTTTATATCTCTTTTCTACCCCAAATTTTAAAACTTAAAAAAAAAAAAAAAAACAGACTCACTACTCCATAACTCATCTTACTGCATTCCTATCTGCAATAATGCCGACTATCTTTGGTGAAGTGAGCATTCTTGTCCCATTTCTGATTCTAATGGCAATACTGTTAGCATTTCATGTGTTCATATTTATTTCTGTGTAGTATGTACCTGAAATGTGCTTGTTAAGTAAGGCCTGGACTTCAAAGCTGAATTTATGATAAAATTAGAATCATAAACCTTTAGAGTAAGAAGATACTGTGGTCACTTCCCACCCCTACTCAATTTGTCTTTGCTATAGTTCAGGATCAGTTCTTTATGTTCAAGCTTGGACAAATTGGAAGTTCAAGTTCAGCAGGTAAGTGGAAGCTCTGTCTTGCCAGTTACTGCCTAAAGGACCTCAAACAAGTCATTGAGTATTTGGGAGCCTAAATTTCTTCATGTATCACATGGTGAGGTGATACTTCTCCCAGAGAGTTACTGTGGGATCAGAAGTTCTCAGAGCTGAGAACATACAGTAGCAGGAAAAGTAAATCACATTCATCACAGCAGTCTTATCAGTGGCAGAAGCAATACCAGAGGCCCTCTTTTGGTGAAGTAGATTTCCCTGCAAGGCCACTGCGAGATCTTATCATTCCAGTAACAGAAATTGGTAGTGTCTTTCTTGAGGTGTCACTATTTCTTTATACATGGCATTAATTATCATTACTTATTTGTGTGTGTGTGAATGTATGCCTGTGTGGTTAACTATTCTCTGTCTTGACTCCATCACAGTAAAAACAGTTTTGTATGAATCTTCATTGGCCTACATTTGTATATCACCACAGTTCCTGGAGATTTCAACCATATTGAAAACCTCTAAAAATGTCTGTTTGAGGAATAAGGTGCCCCTGACCCAAGCCACGGTATTTGTAATCATCTCATAAGCATGTTAAAGATGGATAATGAATAAGGAAGACCAGAGAAGAATCGATGCATCTGAAATTATAGTATTTAGGAAGAATATTGAAAGTACCATGGACTGTCAGAAGAATAAGCAAATCTGTCTTAGAAGAAGTATATCCAGAATGCTCCTTAGAAGCGAAGATGGGGAGACTTCAGTTTTCAATCTTTGGACATGTAGTCATGAGGGATCAGTCTCTGGAGAAGGACATCATGCTTGGTAAAGTAGAGGGTCAATGAAAAAGAGGAAGACTCCCAACAAGATGGACTGACATAATGACAGCAGCAATGAGCTCAAACATAACAACAAATATGAGGATGTCACAGGACGGGGCAGTGTTTCATTCTGTTGTGCATAGGATTGCAGTGAATGACACCTAACAACAACAACGATATTGAAAACCCTATGGAGCAGTTGTACTCTGCACAAATTGAGTCAACATGAGAGTAACTAACAACCTTGAATTGTTGCTAACAACAAATGATCAGTATAAAATGAATACATGTCTGAGGTTGGAGATGAAGACCAATTCAGGAAAGACTGCATGCATAGCCACGAAAACAGAGAGGGCCTAGAGTACATCCTAGGGTTTGGGTTCTGTCTACACATGAAGGGAAGCTGCTGCTGGGTGAGCAAGGGAGGGACTTGTAAGCCTAGGAGAGCACACAATGCTGCTTGTGTTGCAGTACTCCAAATCCAGTGCTTCTCCACTTGGTCTACCAAGAAACTCCAGGTTCAAGGGACTACCTGTTTTCCATTATATAGTGGTTTTTCACTGTACATCAAAATCACCTGGAAGATTCATGACACACACCCCTTCCCCACCAGATCACTGAACTCCACCCTCAGACTTCCTGACTCATTAGGTCTATGATTGTTATTGTTGTTGTTAGGTGCTGTCCAGTCAGTTCCAACTCATAGCGTCCCTGTGTACAACAGAACGAAATACTGCCTAGTCCTGAGCCATCCTCACAATTGTTATGTTTGAGCACATTGTAGCAGCCACTGTGTCAATCTATTTCCTTAAGGGCCTTCCTCTTTTCTGCTGAGTCGACATCAAACGTGATGGCGTTCTCCAGGGACTGGTCTCTAGAAGTCCAAGAGTAGTCTTGCCATCCTTGATTCTTAGGAGCATTCTGGCTGTGTTTCTTCCAAGACAGATTTGTTCATTCTTCTGGAAGTCCGTGATAGATTCAATATTCTTGGCCAACACCATAATTTAAATGCATCATTTTTTCTTTGGTCTTCCTTATTAATTGTCCTGTTTCACATGCATATGAAGCCCTTGAAAACAACATGACTTGTTTTATGGTAAGGCTTGAGAATTTTCACATCTAGCAAGTTCTCAAGTGATGTTGACACTTCACTTTGAGAACCACAGCTCTGTTCAATGTCTGTTGTTGTTAAGTGCTGTTGAGTCAGTTCTGACTCATAATGCCCTGTATAGGGTCTCCAAGGAGGGCTGGTGGGTTTGAACTGTTGACCTTGCAGTTAGCAGTCCAGTGCTTCTCCTACAGTGCCACACCAGGACTCCATTTAATGTCTCAGACATAGTCTTTCTGGGACAGACACAGTCCCTCTGCCTTCCTGACATCACAAGATGGGAGAACTCGTCAATGATGATTTTTTGCTATTCTAAACATGAGGTTTACTCCCCTGTTCTTAGCTTCCAGCAGGCTCAAAGCTGAAAGGCAATTTTCTTTCTTCATTAGCAGCAGTGTTTTTAGTGGCTTTCCTGTTGTGAGGCCTGTACTCAACCCATACATGCCAGGAATGGGCTCCTGCCCTACTGCTAACCTTTATGCTGAAATGGACAAGCAGCACAGAACCAGCAGTAGTATGGTGTGCCCTGAGGGTATAGGGTGTCCAGTTACCCTACCTGTTGTCAACCTCAGGCACTGCTGCTTCCTATCCATGTGGCCCTAGTAAGTCATACAGTCTTTGTGCCTCAGTTTCCCCATCTATATAACATGAGACAATAATACACACATGCTAAAGATGCACAGCCTCGGAAACCCTATACTAGGTTGCTATGAGTTAGAACCACCTCGAAGATACATAACAACATAGGATGACTGAGAAGAAGAAATGGAAATAGTGCAAGCTGTAGTCCTCTATCAGCTGTAAATTACACGATAATATTAATTATTACAGCTTCATGACTGATGTCATGTCAAATGTTAACACAGCTAACAATTAACTGTGACTTCTTTTGTTTATTTTAACTTCAGTAATTTTTGTTTGTTCTTAAGGCATTCCTTACCTTCTGTTCAACAAAAGTCTTTGAAAGCCAGTGTTTCTGGTCCTGACTCACCTTCCACAGGGATATTTACACACTCAGACCCACGTGCCTCACTGTCATCTTTAAATTCTAGAAAGAATAACATAATCAAGGTAGATGCCATTCAACACTCACATTACTTGGTTCTAAGTCAAAATCTTTTTCATTTCCAACTATCAAGAATAAAATGAGAAGAACAAACCAAGTCGTTTATCACTGGTATTCAACCAACTAATGTTCTGCAAGCCCATTTTATTCCTTACCCTGCTTTTTGCCATTTGAACATTAGGTTCCATCCCAGAATCTCAAGTAGGTGCAGAGAGTGAAAGTGAGATGCCCTTTGAAAGGGATCAGTGAGCAGTGAAGATCTTTGCAAAAGATCCCTTTGCATTAGCTGTGCAATTCAAGTGTTCTCAATGTGTTGCAGAGAAAAGAAGCCAGTCTATAGAATCAGAAAGACCTGAATTATTCTATAACTTTCTCTGTGATACTGGGCACGTCATTTAATTTCTCTAAAGATCGGCTTTTGTTTTGTTTACCTCATACAGTTGTTTTGTAAGTGTCCATAAATGATATATGTCTTTGCCCCTGGCTTTATGCTTCCATGTGGATAGGCCTACACAGGAGGAAGATCCCTAATCTGGTAGCCCTGCTCTTCAAGGACTGAGTTAAATGTTTTGTAAATTTGTCAAAATGATCTGGGTACATGTAGGCTTTTTTTTAAGGCAGTGGAAGGAGAGAAGTTTAGATCATCTCACCTGTGACAAATGTGATTTGCTATGTCCTCAGTCGTGGTGGAAGCCAATAGACGTGCTGCCCTGAACTAACAGATTTTAATTCAAGAGTGATTTCTCATGCCTGTGGCCAACCATACCAGGCCCTCCACTATCATTGAATCAGTAACAAAAGTCTGGATTCTTTCTGCCTAACTCCTGGTCCATATCTTAATTGCTTCTGACTTGGAGGGACTGGGAAAATGTTATTTACAGGCTCCTTATACTCTACCAATAGTACTATCTCAATAGTAAATCAGGACTGAATTGGATTGTTTTCTCATCTATGCCCATGACCCAGAGGAAATAAAACCAGAGAGACGCTCCTCTATACTTACTGTAGTTTTCTGCCAGGACAGGAACCAAACCACACTTGCCGGCAGTATAGATGGATCCTGCGTCTAAGTTCATGGCATCCGCTTCTCCTGTCTGATGTTAAAAACCAAATTGCTTTCACAATAGTGAGGATGTCTCCCACCCCCAAGAGGTTTCCATCACCTTGACATAGAAATATGGGGATTAGAAAACTAGGTGTGCACGTTTGACCTAGGAGCAATCGTCCAACCCAGGACATGCTCCCTAGATATCCATGTGTCCTCTCATGAGACCCATGCTCAGTCCTGGACATGCCCTCACCTCCATCTTGTGACCACCGTCACTCCCCAATGATTCACAGTTCCAGAGTCAGGGAGTGCACTGAATCAGTTTAAAGCATAGATCGTGTTTCTTCCTTTTAAATCTGTACCCATAATCCCATTAGTACTGTACTCAGAGCTTTGGCGCAATAAAGATTTTTCATCAATAATTAATTTCTCAAATTATATATTAATAATTAGATTACTATTTAAATCAATTTATTTCTCTAGCAACAAAGCTAAAAACTGAATACTTAGATCAAGGTAAGGGCATGGAGTTAAAACACTGTTTTTGACATAGTCACTGACTCTCTAGAAATCTATCCTGAAACAGTACTCATTGCAACAGCCAAAACATATGGAGTCCTTACTATATGCATCAGGCCCTTTTCCAAACATGATAAAGAATAAGTCATTATATCATTTATTCCTCACAAATGATGCAGATATTATAATTTTAACCCTTTACATATTGGTAAATTGAAGCACTAAGATCAAAAAATGAAACGTGCTGTCTGTCAGCAAGTCAAATTGCAACTCATATTGACCATATATTATTGTTCCATGCCATCATAGCAACCCTGTTTGGAAATTCTGAGGAGTGGCTGGTGGGTTAGCAGTTAGTACTTATCCTACAGTACCACACCAGGACTCTTACTAACCCTGTAGAACAGACCAAAACTATCCCACAGGGTTTCCAAAGCAGTAAATCGTTACAGTAGTCCTGGTGTGGCACCTGGGTTAATGTGCTAGACTGCAAGGTGAGTTTGAACCAGGTCGGTGGTTCAAGCTCATCAGTGGCTCCTCAGAAACCCTATGCAGGGTTGTTATGAGTCAGAATAGACTCAATGGCACTTAACAACAAGAACAAATCTTTACAGACACAGACTGCCACATCTTTCTCCCATGGAGCAGCTGGTGGGTTTGAACCACTCACCTTTCAGTTAACAGCTTAGCACTTTATCACTGTACCATCAGGGACCCTTAACTGAAGCACCCACCCACTGCCATCGAATTAATGTGGACTCATAATGACCCGATAGGACAGAATACAGCTGTTCCATAGGGTTTCCATAACTATCAATCTTTACAAGATCAGACAGCCTTATTATTTTTCTTATGATGATCAGCTGGTGGGTTTGAACTGAACTTGTAGTTAACAGCCTAAAGCCTTACCCAAAGCACCAGCAGGATTCCTTAACTGAAGTACAGAAATGTTCATTTGTCCAATAGATAGATGGTACCACGAATACTTAGACTTACTTCAATTCCTTAGCTTTTGCTAGTAACCTTTATGGCATTGACCTTTTAGGATCTGACTTCTCCAGAGCACATAACTCTAAATATTATCCCAAATGCATATTTTGGAGTCCTGCTGTGATACTGTAGGAAAAGCACTTGACCACAAGGTCTGTTTGAGCCACAAGGTCAGTGGTTCAAATCCACCAGTCTCTCCTTGGAAACCCTATACAGGGTCACTATGAGTTGGAGTCAACTCAGTGGCACATAACAACAACAAAAATGCATATTTTACATCTATAAAACAGGTATAAAACCTACTTCACGATTTATTGTGAGGATTATATAAGTTAATGTGAGTTGTTGTAATTATTGTTACATGCCATTGAGTTGGTTCTGACTCAAAGTGACCTTGTACAGGGTTTCAGAGAGCGGCTGATGGGTTTGACCTGCAGTTAGTGCAGTTTGCAGTATAATGCTTATCCTACAGTGCCATTCCAGGGTTCATGAACATGCCTAACACACAATAGTACTCTAAAACCATTATTTAGAGTTACTAGTAAAGACACTATGAAATATATAGTTAAAGATAATTATATACTTATAATTTAAAGAAGCCTTGGTAGCACAGTGGTTAAGTGCTTGGCTGCTAACCAAAATGTGGGAAGTACAAACCCATTAGCTCCTCGGCAGGAAAAAAGACCTAGCTATCTGCTCCATAAAGGTTACAGTCTAGGATACTCTATGGGTCAGGTCTACTTTGTTACATAGGATTGCTTGTAATTCAGAATTAACTGTAAACAACAACAACAATTTTTATTTATATATTTAATTTATACATTATATATTACAAAAGTCTGTTAAAGATAATATTAAAGATATTCAGAAACAAAATTATGATACATAGGTATTTAATATCATATTATCGATAATAGCAGAGGATTTGGAGCTAAGACAAATATGTTGTTGTAAAGTGCCTTCAAATCAATTCTGACCCATAGTAACCCTGTATTGGGTTTCCAAGGAACACTGGTGGATTTGAACCACCAACCTTGAGCTTCAAACTGACCTTTCAGTCCAGCACATTATTCTGCAGTGCCACACTAGAACTCCAATAAAAATATAGATAGCTAGAAATTTGTTAAGTAAATTGAGGCAGAAATATTAGATTGAATATCATATAGGTATTTTAATGACTATTTCACTACCTAGCAAAGTATACCAATTGTGCTCAACATTTAAAATAATAATAGAAAGAATCATGGAATAATAATAATAACATTTAGCATTTATTGACAGCTTAGTATAAGTGGTTTTTTAAATTATAAATTTATAAACTGCCAGGCAATGTTATGAGCACTCAAATTCTTTTAATCCTTTTAATTGACAAATTTAGGAGACTGTATAAAAGCAGGCTCTTAATCATATCATTTTTATGGTACCAGGAAGATTTACCAAAATTAGAATCGTATTGTTCGTCCAGTCGTTTAAATTTGTCAACTTCTTAGTCTGTTAACATATTTTTTCTAATCACAAGGATATCACACACTCATAGTGAAATAGAAATTCAATAACAACATAACTTCACAATTTAAAGATTGCATGATTGATGGCCTCTGAGATAAATTATTATAAGGGATTTTATTTATTTTCCATTTCTGTACTGGCATGGAATTTTTTATAATCAGAAAATAAATTCAATTTACAACTAAAGAACTGCAAATGGCAATTTTCTGTCACAATCCACCCAGACCACACCTAGGGAATGGCCCCCCACTTTCCATAGCTCTTAGGATACTCCTAGAGCTCCCTGGACTCTAGAACTTAAGGCCCAAAAAATTCTGGGTCTTGGGTTGGCTCTGAATTTCTGTTAGACCCCACCCAATCCTGAGGTGGAGTGGCCAGGGGGGCAACTATGGGAGGTGGCAACAGAGGATAGGTATAATGGCTGATGGGGAAGAGTCTGGGAATGGGGCCTTCAATGTCAGACTCAAAGAGGTGCTGCATGTATGGTATCTGCACCAGCAGTGCAGGAGGGGCCCAGCGTACCACAATGGCAGCGATACAGTCATCGGTGGTCTCCTTCATGGTGCACACCAAAGCGCCGCCACTCACAGCACTCCAGGTGCCACACTTGGCCCTCTCGTGGGTACCCACTGAACACCACTGTACCTTCTTGGAGTCGACTTCACCTAGGATAGGCAGAAAAGAGAGAGTCCTAAGGAAGCACCAAGATGGGACTGGAGGCTTTGTGTTGCTGTCTGTGGAGTGTCTACCCAACATGGGCTCCCACTGGTAGCAGTCAGCTAGGCCTGTCCCATTCCCATGGCACACTCCTTTCTGCCTACCACTCTCCAAGAGGTATGAGGACAAGAATGGTAAAGCAGAGCTCCTGACCTCACTTGCCTAGGGGAGCCCTCTTAGAGCCTGGCTCAGGTTCTTGTGGGCTTTGCTATTACAAGATTGAGTTTTCCCACACAGAGAGCATTTTTGTTGTTGTTAGGTGCCATTGAGTTGGTGCTGACTCATAGCGACCTTATACACAACAGGATGAAGCACTGCCTGGTCCTGGGCCAACCTCACAATTGTTGTCACGCTTGAGCCCATTCATGCCATTCATGCTGCCACTTGGCCAATCCATCTCGGTGGGGGTCTTCTTCTATTTCTCTGACCCTCCACCTTACCAAACATGACATCCTTTTCCAGCCACTGTTCCCTCTTGACAATATGTCTATAGTATGAAAGATAAAGTTTGGTCATCTTGGCCTCCAAGGATCACTCTGGCTGCACTTCTTCCAACACAGATCTGTTGTTTCTTTTGATAGCCCATAGCACTTTCAATATTCTCCTCTAACACCATAACTCAAAAACATCAATTCTTCTACGGTCTTCCTTATTCACTGTCCAGCTTTTGTATGCATATGAGGTTACTGAAAATACCATGGATTGGGTCAGGTGCACCTTAGTCGTCAAGCTGACATCTTTGTTCTTCAACACTTTAAAAAGGTCTTGTGCAGCAGAATTGCCTAATGCAATACTTCGCTTGATTTTTTGACTGCTGCCTCTATGAGTGTTGATAGTTGATCCAAGAAGAATGAAGTCCTTGACAACTTCAATCTTTTCTCCGTTGATAAGAATGTTGTTTATTGATTCAGTAGTGAGGATTTTTGTTTTCTTTACATTGAGATGCAATCCATACTGAAGGCTATATAGTCTTTGATCTTCATCAGTAAGTATTTTAAGTCCTTGTCACTTTCAGCAAACAAGGTTGTATCAGCTGCATATCGCAGGTTGTTAACTATGGACAATATTGCAAAGTATGAGTATTCCAGAACACTTAATTCTGCTCATGAGGAATCTGTACCAGGGCCAAGAAGCAGTTATTCAAACAGAACATGGGAACATTTAATGGTTTAAAATTTAAAAAGGTGTGAGACAGGGTTGTATTATTTCAACATACTTATTCAACCTGTATGCTGAGCAAATAATCCGAGAAAATGGGTGATATGAAGAACAACGTGGCATCAGGATTGGAGGAAGTCTAATTAACAACCCAGAGAGCATACCCCAGCTTATAAATGCATATTCTGTTTTGTTGTGGGTCTGTTTGCTCGGCCCTCACTCAGTGTCCCAGCTCACCACTGTACGCCCACAGCCAACATGACTAACACAGTGTATGCCCACATTCAACATGTCTAACACGGTGACTGAGCTTTGTAGCTCATCAAGAACTACTGGTTAACTAAAAAGGATGGAGCCTGTGGCACAGAGGCTAAGTGCTCGACAGTTAACCAAAAGAGAAGAAAGGGAGAGAAGAGAAGGAAGAAATAAACCCAATATAATGGAAGGTAGGAATGGTATCAAAATCCTCTGAAAGTATAGTTCCCACTTCAGTTAAGGATGAGCTATTTCACTGGTCAAATAGCCCTATGTTGGGTGGGGTAATCCAAAATAATACAAAAGAGTACCATCATCACTTCAAAGATCTTCAAAACTCTTTTGTTTTTGTTAACACATGTTGTTGCTGTTAAGTGTTGTCAAGTTGGTTCCAACTCACAGTGAGCCTATGGTTTTTGAGAAGCACTTAGTGGGTTTGAAGTGTCAACCTTGAGGTTCAAACCAGCCTTGAGGTTGAGTACTTATCCTACTGGACCACACAAGGTCTTTCTCCCAGCTCAGCAGAAAATCTCAGTATGAACCCAATGTATTCAGTAGCTCCTTGAACCCCACAAGGGTTCAATGTTGAATGAGGTGTGCAGGCACCTATAAAGCCTTATCAGGAACCCTGCCCAAGCTCAACATGTCTCCTTCACCCCTAGACTCTACATACCTCCCTTTAGATGCTGAATGGCAGTGATGTGCTCGTATCCCAGGTACAGCCGGGCATCCATCTTAGGGGGGACCTTTAGGAAACCGTGGGCAGCGTCTGTGAACAACAGGTCCTTCCCGTAAGGAGAGCCAAAGAGCTGAAATTCTGTTGACTTGTCTCTTCCAAAATATTCCTTTACAAAGGTTAAGAGAAGGAGTGAAGAAAGGAAAAAGTCAGACAAGAAAGCCAAAGGGGAGAAAATCATGGACTCCAGAGTACAGACACCGGTCAATGCCCTCCAAAGTCTCAGTGGCTCATGGAGTCTCAGATCTCTCTACAGGACACATCCCCCCATGTCTGCCTTGTGTGTCATCCGGGAGATTTCCAGGACTGCCCCCGTAGGCCTGTACATGGGGGCTGAGAGTTACATGTGTGCTGGCCCTCTCCAGTGCCAAGGCTGATTCCCACAGGCAGTCTGTGAGATTGCTTCCTGCCTGGCAATCTGATGGCCCTCAGGCAGTGGAACACGGGTCTTCCTCCTGGAACCACTGGTGCTCTGGGGTTGGAGGTCAGGAGTTGGGGCTCTTCCCCTGAACTTGGGTCTGCCAGTGAAGGACCAGCTGAAACACTTCAAGTGGTCCCTTCCCTTTTCTGGCTTCTAACTAAACCAACTGAGTTCTGGTGTGGTGCTATAGGATAAGCACTCAACCTCAAGGTCAGTTTGAACCACAAGGTCAGCAGTTCAAACTCACCAGCCACTCCTCAGAGACCCTATATAGGGTCACTATGGGTCAGAATGGACTCAATGGCACTTAACAACAACCACACAACCAACTGAAGAGCCTATGACTCCAGCTGACCTGTCCAGAGCCCTTCCTGACTAATGGCTGCTCCTGCCCACATGCTCATTCAACTATCTGCATGCAATGGCACCTGCTGCCCTCCCTGACAATACCCCCACCCACTTCCTTGGGGTACACACAGCTCAGGAATCTTCCCAGAGAGTCCATGCAGATCAGCACCCCTGTCCTCTGCAAAGTGCCCAATCCATATTTTCAAGGTGGTACTGATTATCCTAAGGACCTCTGGTAGGGTAGTGCTTATGAATCGGGCTGTTAATCTCATGGTCAGCAGTTCGAAACTACCAGCTGTTCCACGAGAGAAAGATAAGGCTTTCTGCTCCCGTAAAGACTTACAACCTCGGAAACCCTGTACAGAGACGCTATGAGTCGGAACCGACTCTATGGCACATAACAACAACAACAACAACAACAACTGATTATCCTGCAGCCATAATGCTCCTTAGAGGCCAAGATGGCCAAACTTCATTTCTCATACTTCAGACATATTGTCAGGAGGGACCAGTCGCTGGAGAAGGATATCATGTTTGGTAAGGTGGAGGGTCAGAGAAAAAGAGGAAGACCCCCAATGAGATGGATTGGCCAAGTGGCAGCATCGATGGACTCAAGCGTGGCAACAATAGTGAGGTTGGCCCAGGATCGGACAGTGTTTCGTTCTACTGTGCATAAGGTCGCTATGGGTCAGTACCAACTCGATGGCACCTAACAACAACAATAACAACTGATTATCCAGCTGTAATGCTTAGGGATATTTATTGGGTTTCTCATGCTTGTCTGTGAGGACTTGAGGCCAGGGTCTTTGTCAGATTCTGGTCTGACTTTGCAGCACTTAGCAGAGAACACTAACAGAGATAACTGTGCTGAAGCCTGGAGGTTGTCCAAAGGAGAGACTGCTAACTCCCAGGGGCCCTGTCGGAGAGCAGAGAGGGATCAGGAGGGAGAGAACACTTGCCAATATGATAATGGGGAGCATCTGGGTTACAATCTGAAGGCCCTGTTTAGAATGGAGATGGGGCAACAAGGAGCCTATGCAGAATCTTGGGCCCACTAGTTTGGTGATGCCAACAAGGATTTCATGGCTTCTGTTATCCATACAATGTACAGTCAAAGACTTGTCAGTGATGTGGGTAATGTGTGCTGTAGTTCTTGCTGCGACACAGAAAAACTTATAAAGTAACAAGCTCTCAAGGAAGGAAGACCCCCAAGCCCAAGCAAGAACCGTGAAGTAGGAAGGCAAATGGAGTACCTGCGCTTTGTTGAGAAGCTCCCAAATCAAGTCCTCCTTGCCAGACACGTTTCGGGCCACAACAGCATGAGAGGGGACCTTGGCCAGGTGGCACTCTTTGTATGCGTGTACTGGCTTCCGCGTGTTGTCTGGACAGAGCAGCTCATACTGGTCCCTGTGCACCTTATCTGGTAGGTTCTCTGAGGAAGAGAAAGCCCATATGAGCATCTGCAGGCAGAATTCATAACAGTGGTTCCCTATCCCTCGCCGAATCACACTATTTTTGACCTAAAGGGGGCTGACAGAATGTTTTCCAAACACTTGCACAGATGAGAAACCTGAGGCCTTGGGAAATGAAATGACAGTCTCACTATTTCATATCCAGGTTGTCACAGGGCAGGGGTGCATGACTGACCCAAGATCCCTGCAACTGTCCCAGGTTTCCGTGGCTTTGCTGATATGAATAGTGATTGTTGTTGTTGCTAAGTGCCTTTGAGTCAGTTCCAACTCATAGCAAACCTATGTAGGTTTTCCAAGGAGCAGCTGGTGAGTTTGAACCACTGACCTTGTGGTTAGTAGTCCAGTGCTTATCCTACAGCGCCACACCAGGCAAATATGTGCTAACCACTCATGCCACACCAAAGATGGTGCTGTTTTATGTAAACCTGTCAATAATTCAAGGAAACTGATAATATAATTAATTATTTCATTCTAGAGATGAGGAAACTGAGAGAATTAACATGAAAATATCAGAGTCTCAGCCAGTCTGGAACTGAGGTGCTCCCACACTAGAACAAATCAGGACCCCATTAATTTAGCAACACTCCACTCTTGGGGAAAGACCATGAGAGGGTTTAGGGGACCAGTCAGGACATGCTACAAAGACAAAGAGGGCTGGAAGATCCTGTGAAGAAAACTGGCGTTTTAATTCCCATGGCATTAAAATGTCTTTGGTGTTGTTAAGAAATCTCATCTTAAAGAGAAGGAGTTCCTGTGAATAGCTAAAATTTAAATTCAGTATATTATAGAGAAAATAAATTTAAAATTTTTGTATTTTACAGAAAAAGACCCAACAATTTAGTAATGTTAGAACTACTAATTAAAAGAATCAATATGATCTAATGCTGCAGATCTTCTCCTCTGAAGTCACCCAAGGGCCCAGCATGGCAGGAGCAGACCTCTGTTTGACACAAACTTGCATTCCCACTACTAAAACCCAGTATTTTGTCCTTCATAAAATTCTCCTTTCAAGGCAATAATGGATCTTGAATAGGAGAAGACAAGTGACATTAGGTTGATTTCTTTTTTTTTTCAAATACAGAAATTTTTAAAATATCAGTTATGCCCATGGCAATAGTACTTTGGTAGCTGCTGCTGCTGCTGTTATGTGCTGTGGGGTCGGTTCTGACTCATAGCGACCCTGTACAGGGTTTCTGAGGCTGTAAATCTTTATGGGAGCAGAAAGCCTCATCTTTCTCCTGTGGAACAGCTGGTAGTGAGATTAGCGGCCCGACTCATAACCACTATGCTACCAGAGCTCCTTAGTACTTTGGTAACAGATTTCATTTTTCATGTATTTATGGACACCTGGTGTGGCTCTTTGAGATAATGAACTAGACTACAAGGTCTGTTTGAACCACAAGGTCAGTGGTTCAAACTCACCAGTCATTTCTCAGAAACTCTAAACAGGGTCGCCATGAGTCAGAATCAACTCAACGGTACTTAACAAGTTCTGAAGCCATTAAAATAATTTGTGTGCTTGCTTTAGGTGTTTGCAGCATTTGGGAGACATTTATCATGAAGCATTCAAGAGAATGTGATTCATTTTGAAACTAATATTTCAATAACTAAGAGAATTTTATTATTAAAACTTGTTTTGCTTTATAAGTTGGTAAGTATTTACACACTATTTCCTGTGTATCACCAGATGGAATACAAATGAATCAAACTGATTTCAACTGTGCGAAGTGATGATGGGGAAGCTCCATATCATCAGCTAAAACAAGGCCAGGGGCCAACTGTGAAACAGACCATCAACTGCTCATATGCAAGTTCAGTCTGAAGCTGGAGAAAATGTAAATAAGTCCACAAGAGCCAAAATGCAATCCTGAGTCTATCCCACCTGAATTTAGAGACCATCTCAAGAATAGATTTAATGCACTGAACATTAATGATTGGAGACCAGACTAGTTATGGATAACTTGAAGAACATCATACTTAAAGAAAGCAAAAGGTCATTACTTAAAAGACAGGAAACAAAGAAAAGACCCAAGTGAATGTCAGAACAGACTTTGAAACTTGCTCTTGAATATAGACTAGCTAAAACAAATGGAAGAAATGAGGAAGTAAATGGACTGAACAGAAAATTTCAAAGGGCAGTTTGAGAAGACAATGTAAAGTATTTCTAACCTGTGATTAGAAAAAACAAAAGAGAAGAATATGCTTAACATTTCTCAACCTAGAAGAACTGAAAAAAAAAATTTAAGCCTCAAGTTGCAATATTAAAGGATTCTTTTCATTTTGCTTGAATCCACAATCAATATTCATAGAAGCAGCAGTCAAGAAATCAAAGGTCGTATTTCATTAGGCAAATCTGCTGCTAAAAAACTCTAAAACGTTAAAGAACAAAGATGTCACCTGGAGGACTAAGGTACACCTGACCCAAGCCATGGTATTTTCAATCGCTTCATATATATGCAAAAGTTGGACAATGAGTAATAAAGACAGGGAAGAAATGATGCATTTGAATTACGGTGTTGGAGAAGAATATTGAAAGTACCATGGACTTCCAGAAGAACAAACAAATCTGCCTTGGAAGTAGTACAGATCCTTAAAAATGATAATAGCAAGACTTCATTTCTTATACTTTGGATATGTTGTCAAGAGGAACCGGTCCCTGGAGAAGGACATCATGCTTGGTAAAGTGGAGGGTCAGTGAAAAAGAGGAGATGGAATGACACAGTGGTAGCAACAATGTACTCAAACACAACAACAGTTGTGACAATGGGGCAGGACCAGACAGTGTTTTGTTTTGCTGTGCACAGGGTCACTATGGGTTGGAACCAACTCAATAGCACCTAACAACAACAATATGGAAGGAAGATACAGTGTCTCTCTACCAAAAAGAGCTGGTTAACATTCAACCATTCCAGGATGTAACATGTAATCAAGAACCAGTGGTACTGAAGGAAGAAGTCAAAGCTACACTGAAGGCATTGTTGAAAAACAAGGCTCCAGGAATTAATGGAATATCAGTTGAAATGTTTCAACTAACTGAGGCAGTACTGAAAGGACTCACTAGTCTATGCCAAGAAATTTGGAACCAACTAACTAATCAACTGGAAGAGATACATATTTGTGCCCAATCCAAAGAAAGGTGACCCTACAGAATGCAGAAATTACCAATCTCATTAAAATCACATGCAACTTGGACACTGGCTACCCAAAATGGGGGGTGGGGGGCTACAAAGGCAAGAAGTGACTGGCTTACAAGCTTTCAAGAGGGAACCTAGATCCAGAGGGCTTGTAGGAAGGTAGAATCTCTAGTGAGTAGTATTTAATCTGTCTAGGCGGGGCTGATGCAATGAAATGCAGATGGGTCTCTTGTGATACAATAGTGAATAATTGTTATCAGGACTGATTGTGAGGGTTGGAAATGTAAAGGTAGATGTTTTGTAGCAAATGAGGGGAGTGATTGACTTTTCAGTCTAAGAGCAGAGGTCCCTGGAACCATCAAGGGACAAGAGTGGAGAATGGGACACTACCCAGAGAAGCAGTGATGTCAGAGATGGAGGCAGAGAAGATGACATGGAGAGATGGAGCGGCTGGGGACTTTAGACCCAGAGAAGGAAAGGGGCTATGTGCTGACGACCCGGAGGCAGGCTTGCAGGGTATACCCTTTGTTTGATTGATGATGCATGGAGGGGATTTTAACCATGGCAATGAAACAATATATGATAGGATGAATGTAAAGCTAATGTTCTCCCATGTAAACTGTCACATAATTCACAATTTAAAAAAAAAATTACATGCAAGAAAAATTTTGTTCAAGATAATTTTTAAATGGTAGTAATAGCATATAAACAGGGAACTGCCAGAAATTCTAGTCAGATTCATAAGAGGATGTGGTATAAGGGATACCATCGCTGATCTCAGATGTATCTTGGCTGAAAGCAGAGAATACCATCAAGGTGTTTACTTGTGTTTTATGGACTATGCAAAGGTATTCGAGTCTGTGGATCATAATAAACTATGGATAACATTGTGAAGAATGGGGATTCCAGAGCACTTCATTGTGATCATGAGGAACCTGTGTATAGAACAAGGCAGTTGTTCAAACAGAACAAGTGGATACTGTATGGTTTAAAATCAGGAAAGGTGTGTGTTGGGATTGTATCCTTTTACCACACTATTCAATCTGGTTGCTGAGCAAATAAACTGAGAATCTGAACTATATGAAGAAGAATGTAGCATTAGAATTGGAGGAAGATTCATTAACAACCTGTGATATGCAAATGATACAACCTTGCTTGCTGAAAGTGAAGAGGACTTGAAGCACTTTCTGATGAAGATAAAGAATATAGCCTTCAGTATGGATTACAACTCAATGTAAAGAAAACAAATGTCTTCACAAAGGTACCAATAAACAACAGCATCATAGATGGAGAAAAGATTAAAATTGTCAGGGATTTCATTCTACTTGGATCCACAATCAATGTTCATGGAAGCAATCAAGAAATCAAACAACTTATTGCATTAGGCAAATCTGCTGCAAAACACCTCTTTAAAGTGTAAAAAGCAATGATATCACTAGGAGGATTAAGGTGTGCCTGACCCAAACCATGGAATTTTCAATGGCCTCATATTCATCTGAAAGCTGGACAATGAATAAGGAAGACTGAAGAAGAATCCAGGCATTTGAATTATGGTGTTGGCAAGGAATGTTGAAAGTATCATGGACTGTCAGAGGAACAAACAAACCTGTCTTGGAAGAAGTACAGCCAGAATGCTCCTTAGACACCAGGATGGTGAGATTTTGTTTATATACTTGCACATAACATCAGAAGGACCCAATCCCTCGAAAAGGACATCATGGTAGGTCAAATAGAGGACTAGGAAAAAAGAGAAGGACCCACAACAAGATGGACTTGACCCACTGCCGCAAAAATGGGCTCAAGCGTAACAACAACTGTGAGACTGGAACAAGACTGGGTAATATTTCATTCTCTTGTGAGTAGGGTCATCATGAGTAGTTAACCAACTTGATGGAACATAACAACAAGTTTTATTTGAACAAGCTCAGAACATTTGTTTAGTGGAATTTTAAAAGTCGAACAAATTGAGTGCTGAGCAAAGTACAAACAACAGAAATGTTCTTTACACAAAATTCTTCTGTGATATTAAAGATCTTGGCATCACAAATCTCTAGCTGTAAGAAATTATTTAGGCAAGAATCAGTTCCCCTGGTTTGGGTAAAACTTCACATGGTCTTCTTCCGCCAGCACTTACCAAACACTGTCATGTGCCTCACAAAACACACATCCCCAACACCATTCTTCAGACACCTGTGGAACAGGAGAGAGGTAGTCAGGCCACCTATGACTCACATGGCCCAACCACTCCCTCATGCAGCCCCTCCAAGGGTATGCCTCCACCCTAAGCTCTAGAGCCCTGAGTTATGATAACTCATCAGCAGGGAAGCTCTGGAGGGGCCATGAAGAACTCTAGATACTGGGCAAGTCAGTCAATCCCTGACAGCCCTCTATCACCTCAAAACACAGTCCTATCCACACCCACCCTACCTCCTTAATACCCAGAGGTAGTGGTAGTTCATGGGGATCCCTCTTCTGGGAACCCATGGAGGGTGCTGATGAGGTGGAGGTCATGCCAACAGCCAGAGGTGATAGCCTTGTCTATGAGACTGACCTTGAATCCCCCACTCTAAGTCAAGTCCTGGTTTTAAGAAAGGGCCATGGAAACTAACATTGTGGGCAACTATGGGAAGGGGAAGGGTAGGGGTGTGGGGAATGAAGCAAGAAGAGAGATTTCATGTTCCTTTCTAAAGGCAGCAAAATAACTTTTTTTTTTTATTAAATAGGAATTTAAAGTCTTTACACGGTGGGTAAAGACTTTTGATAGCCTCAGATCCTCAACCAGTTTCTCTCAGGTCAGAAGGTTGAGGAGGAGGTGGGGAGAGTCAGACATTGGTCCCTGGCACAAGAAGATACTCGGCAGAAAGACACAGGGGGCGGGGGTAGTCTGTTCGTGGAGTCCAGGCCTGTGGTAGAGAATATCAGAGTCTTAGAGATGGCCTATCTCCTTCCTGGTCCAGGAGCATACCAAGGACACTCTCTGAAGAGCAAAGAGTTGTCTCCCAAAGAAGTGAGGCTTGGCCACAGGAGGGACTCAGAACCCTGGGTTTCACACTGATGATCTGGGGCAGTGGGGGAGTGGGGTAGAACTTATCTTCCATCTTTGAAGTAAGAAGGAGTAGCAGATGGTCTCACTCACTTGAAGGCACCTGAGTAGCCGAAGTATGGTTCCTGGGAGTTGCAGGCACACTTGGCTGTTCTTGTCCCAGCACATAATTGACACAGGTTGGGGAAACTTTTAGAATCTGCACAGGGGACACAGCTGCCCGAGAAGAACTTGGACACTGCTGTTGAACACAGAGATCACAGGCATAAGCTGGCTGGGGACCTCTGTGTTGTGTGTGTGTGAATGGGGTGGCCCTGTCTGAGAACCACGAGTCTGCAGACACTTCCAGGATTATCCTAGGCTAATTACATGCAGCCTGCCAGAGGTGGCTGACATTGCCTGTGCTCAAGGAAGTGGGTCTTCACACACATCACAGTCGTGTGCACCAGGGCTAAGTCCATGAGAACGTTTTCCAAAGCTGTCCACTCTAGGTGCAAGAGCTGCTGATTGACACTGAACCACAACTGCAGCCCAGAGCCACTAGCCTCTGGTAACTCACCAGGATGGAGTGTACAAAGGGGCATGCAGAACCCTCAATCACGTGACAGCCAACCCCTAACAGCTTTCTTTCTTTAGGACATAGCCCCAGTCACCCCATCCCACTTTCCTCTGCATGTAGAGGTTGTGATAGTTCAAGGAGATCCCTCTTCTGGGACCCTATGGAGGGAGCTGATGAGGTAGGGGTCATGCCAACCACATGCCTGACGCTGAGACAAGCAGAAACCCCAAGAAAGGGTAGAACAAGTCCCCAGAGGTGTGGGCCAGGTGGCAGCATGCCATCCAGTGCCATCATTAGCTCCTTATCCCTATCACGGTCAGATCACAAATGCTGCAGAGGCTGGTAGGACTCCAAAAGGTGCACTTTCACCAAGGACAAAAAGATTCAGCCATCATCTCTCAAGGGCTGAAAAGGCAGCTGAACTTCATGTTTGCTGCTATAACTGAACAAGAAGCGAGAGTACACAAGAGATATTATAGCTCCATTCCACTCATCTCTGCTTTGCTGGTGCCCCATGCCCTTACCCAAGCCACTGAGGCCTGAATGCTGGCAAGCAACTGTAATCTCCTACTGAGCCTTCTGGGAAGCTGGAGGGAATGCCCCCTTTTCTCAGGGGCCCTCAATGATGGCCTTAGTCAAAACAAACCTACTGGGATTACCATGCTTGTGGGGCTGTCAGGAGTGCAGAGAGATAAATGCATCTTTGCTGAGAGAAGAAAAGTCTCAGGTGCTAGCTCCCAGAGGAATCCTGCCTTGGGTTTAAAGCTTGAATCTTACCCTTCCCTGATCCCCTCAGAGTTCAACACACATGTTACGTTCCTAGTGACTATGTAGTCTCAATGTGGCCTGTGTGGGCAACTGGAATAGAGACACTTGCCCAGATGTATCCACCCTTCTGCCAGCTTACCGTTCTCAATTGGTACACGGGGCTCCGCCAAGTCAGAGAAAAGTAAGCTGATGGGGACATTCCATCCTGTGGATCTGCCCAGGCCTGTGTGGCAGGTCTTCTTGTGTCTGAGCTCGTTCAGCTGGAAACCACTGCCCTTCAGTGCCACAGCTACAGCATAATAGTGGGTTTGAGGATCTGCAAAGGGTAGGGAGGAAGGAAGGGCAAAAGGAAGACGTACCATCATTGGTACTAGTCTTCCAGAGTCTATGCAGTGGGGAACTTTGGGGAGGACCTACAGCATATCCCTTAGCAAATACGCAGAAAAGGGAATGAAAAACACACTTGATTTACAGGAAAACGAAATGGTCCCTTTTCAAACCAATAAAACTAACACCTTTTTTGCCAGTTCCTCCAAGTCAATGGGGAGACAAGAACTCTGTGGAATGTTCTTTAGTAGACCTCTGTTGTTGTTGTTAAATGCTGTCGAGTTGGTCGTGACTCACAGTGACCCTGTATAAGGTTTCCAAGGAATAACTGGTGGGTTTGAACTCCACCTCAATCCATGCTAATTCTACAGCACCATGATAACACTCCAGGTAATTGTGATGTTACCTAAAGGCTTTGCACCCTTCTCTGCTTCTCTGTTTGCAGCCTAGGCAGTAGGTGAAGGTGTGAGGGACAGGATGCAGTTATCCCCAGGATTTTGACAGAGCCCTGAAAGTTGGAGTCAGACAGAGGCAGGCTGGGTTTTCATGCAATGACACTAGTGGAAACGTTTGGGAAAGGGGCAAAGCCAGATTCTTAGACTCCCCCAGAGTCCCTCTGCACAACAAAATGCAGGTCCTGGGTTCTGTAGCACCTGCAGGTTACTTAGCACAGGGAAGAGGTTATCAGAGCTCCTGTGTGTCTCCAAAGATGAGACTTCCCTTGGTGCAACCCCACTGGGTGGGTGATTGACTCCAGACAGTACCTCCCCAATCACAAGCTGTGGACACTGCCCTTACATCAGCAACAACAGCATGACTTTCAGGTGCACAAAGTTCATAGCTTCCTAGGGAGAACCAATACCCAGTCCTTGCAGGTTACTGTCAGGAACCACCTCACTCAATCCAACAACTTTGTTCCCTACGAATGTAAGCTGACCAAGACCTTGCCTCCCCCCATGGTTGCCATGGCAACACAGACATGTGCTGTTCCCCAGCGAGAACATACTGTCTTTTTTTTTTAGGGTCACAATATTTATTCTTTATTATTTTTTGAACATTTTATTGTGCTCTACATGAAAGTTTACATAGAAAACTTGTTTTCCAATCAATAATTCATACACAGGTTGTTCTGTGACATTGGTTATAATCCCCACAACGTGTCAGCACTCTGCATTTCCATTCATCATGTTTCCCTATCCCTCCTTATTCCTTGCCTTTTATTCTTTATTATTGCCTTCCCTGTCACTCAAGTTAACACACGTCTACTCTCTCTTCCCTTCCACCCCTGCTAACCATCAAAGAATGTTTCTTTTACCATGAAAATTTTTTACAATAGTGGTCTCATACAAAATTTTTTATTTTGTGACTAACTAATAGTGTAGTGGTTACAAATTGGGCTGCGAACCGTAAGGTCAGCAGTTCGAAACTACCAGCTGCTTCACGGGAGAAAGATGAAGCTTTCTGCTCCCATAGAAATTTACAGCCTCAGAAACCCTGTACAGGGTCGCTATGGGTCGGAACTGACTCGACAGCACTTAACAACAACAACAACAATTTCATTCAGCATAATGTTCTCCAAGTTCACCCTTGTTATGAGATTTTTTTTTTCAGATTCATTATTATTATTCAACCTTGCAAAAACTTGATAGTTTCTTAAAAATTAAACCTACACTTAGCATATAACCCAGCCATTCTATTTCCAGATACTTAGCTAAGAGAAATAAAAGCTTATAGCAGACTTATTTTTAAGAGTGCCAAACCAGAAACAATCCAAATGTCTTTCAACAGTTGAAAAAATCAATTGTGTTATATCTAAACAATGGAATACTATTTAGCAATAAAAAGGGATAAACTACTGGTGCACAAAACCATATGAATGGATCTCAAAGTAATAATACTGAATGAAAGAAGTCAAACAAAAAAAAAGCGTTCGTACTGTATGATTGCATTTATATAAAATTATAGAAAATGCAAACTAATTTATAGACACAAAGCAGATCAGCAGCTGTCTGGAGATGGGGGAGGAACAGCATGGAAGAATGACAAAGAGGTACATATAAACTTTTAAGAGTGATTAATATGTTTATTATCTTAATTTGGTGATAGTTTCACAGAGTATATATAAGTCAAAACTTCAAATTGTACATTGAGTATGTGCAGTTTATTTTATGCCAATAATCCATGAAAAAAGCCATTAAAAATAGCATATCCCCAACATAACTTGCTTTTTAAAAAATTTTTTGAGGTGCAAAATATTATATTCATTTTCCTCTTAACTAGATTCTATAGCAAGGTCCACAGTCACTCTACTACCAACTGCTAAAAGTAGAAGTTTCTGTAAAATGAGTTTAATGTGAGAACATACTGTCTTTTGACCCATAGAACTCTGCCACGACAGGTTTCAGGTTGTAAGGGGCCAGGGATGCATCAAACACCCATCCTGCTTCAAGAGTCACAGCATCTGCTTGGTTTGCCTAGAAGAAACAAGATCAGACCACAATGAAGTCCCTCCCCTCTCCAGAAGACTCATTTAAGTCCTCTACCAGGAACACTTGCTCCATAGTTACTGGTATGGTTTAGATTTTCCTCATCTTCCTCAGTTCTTCACTTAAATGTCCCCTGCTTAGTAAGGCCTTCATGGACCACACTCTTAAAACCTCCTACATTCCAGATGTCCCTTTGTTTTACTCCTTAGTCTTATCATCTCATAAACTTTTTTGTTGTATGTTCTCCCCTGCAGAATGTAAGCTCTATGAGGGCAGGGACATTTTTGCCTGTTTCATTTACTGCTGCCTCATTGGGCTCAAGTGTGGCAACAATAGTGAGATTGGCTCAGGATCGGGCAGTGTTACGTTCTGCTGTGCATAAGGTCACTATGAGATGGTACCAACTCGATGGCACCTAACAACAACAACAAATTTAATGCTGAATCCTACCACCTAGAAGACCCAACATCAGTTGGTACTCAATAAATGTTTGTTGAAAAAGCAAGTAAATTAATGAATGAATTGATTTACTTGTCCATTCCCAGATTTGAATTCCACTAAGTTGGTTTGTTGACCGACATGAGAATCACAATCTTATAGCCTCTTCTCAGAAATGAGGTTGGATTTTTGTTAACTTGGTATTGTTTCTATATACTTGTCTCCCTTTCTCTGCATCTCATTCTACAATATCTATCTACCTACCTATCCACCTACTCTATTGGTTGCATGCATCAGAAACCAACTTGAATTTGTTTCTATAAAATCAAGACAGTCACAGGGCCTGGGGAACACCATCAATCAGAGACAATAAGAACGGACACAGATGTCAGCTCATCCCAGTGGTCTCCAGCTCATGACCCTGGGTTCCAGCTTGTTCTTGCTCTTCTCCACTTTACATACATCTTCCCTTCTAGACTGCATGCTCAATGCCAGATGTGAATACAATAGTCATAGAGACTACTTAACCAGGTTCCACAATGTTGTAAATATAGTTTTCCAGAATGATGTAGACATTTATAAAGCAATAGCAATACATACCAATTTCAGTGCAAGCCTACAAGCAAGAAGCAGTATCATTTAAGAAATGATATTACATTACTAGAAATAAGTTGCTACTTTAAGAAAGGTCTTATTTGCACTTCTTTGATTATTAAAATGGATGACTGATTTTCATTTATTGTTTCTATTATTTATTAGTTATCATTTTTTTGTGAGTGCTTTGGTTTTAGCTAGCTATTCTTAATTATTTCTTATCAATTTGAATAGAGCCTTCAAATAGTTTTTATAGTATACTGTTTTGTTATAACTGATGGGGATCTTTTTTGTATGCTTAGTTTTCCCCCCTACTTTTCTTTGTCATATTTATATATATTTTTTGCATTTCTAAATTTATCTACTTTGTGATTTATCTTGTTATGTCTATCTCTTTTAGTCAACTTGAGTCACACCAGGCATTTATTTTGGTGAATGGATTAAGAATATCATGTGATGTTTTCCCCAAAAAATGGCTACCCAATCATCTAGCTAAAGAATCTTTTCTCAGCCATTTGTTTGGAAATTTTGCCTTAGTATAAATGTCCACCCAAATCTTATGTATCTTACCTATTGCCCTAATGTTGGACATCATAATTTACAGTCTATATTCTCGAACATAATTAGATAGATGGGGAATATGTTGAAAGTGGGGAATATGTCTTAATTTTGTTATCTTCCAGGTCTTCTCTATTTGCACCTATACTCTGGTCTTTGGAGTCTGAGTGTGGTGCTGTAGGATAAACATTGGATTGCTAACCACAAGGTTGGTGATTCAAACCCACCAGCCACTCCTCAGAAACCCTATAAAGGGTTGCTGTGAGTAGGAACTGACTTGACAGCACTTAACAACAGCCCTGATCTTTAGTCATTGGGTGGTGCAAATGGTTAAGCTTTGGACTACTAATCAAAAGTTTAGTTATTTAAACCCAACTAGGTAGGCTTTGTGTGGCACTGTAGGATAAGCACTGAGCTGTTCAAACCTCCTCAGAAGCCCTTACAAGGTCACTACGAATTAGGACCAACTAACTCGATGGCACTTAACAACAACAGGGAAGCCTGGTGATCTGCTTCTGAAAGGTCACAACCTTGAAAATCCTACTCTGCACATTTGGAGATGCTGTGAGTTGGGCTCAACTCAAAGCAAATATCACCACCCTGTTCTTTGTAGCACTTTTATTTGAATATTAGGTAGGGATCAGCACTCCCCTGCTCCTTTCTCTTTTCATAACATTATTTTATTTTCTACTCTCTTATGCATGTGCTTTTGAGAATTTTGATAACATTTTATTGATTATTTAAAAAATAAAGAACTGTATTTTGACTAATATTATACTAATTTATAAGTTAACCCTAGGAGAATAATGCAAACATAATATTTAGTCATCTAGGAATACAAATGTTTTTATTTATCAATATTTTTCATTTGTCACAAAAGTTTGATATCAGTTTAATAACAATCCTACAAGTCCCTCATATAATTTTTTCCTGTAATGTTCTCTGGTTATTACTTTTAATTTAAATAAGATCACAATTTGGGGCTATTTTTCCCTCACTAAGTTCTAGTGTGGTGCTGTAAGATCAGCACTGGTCTCCTAACTGCAAGGTTACTGGTTCAAACCCACCAGCTACTCCTTGGAAACCCTACACAGGGTCACTATGAGTCAGAACTGACTCAGTGATACATAATAACAACAATGACTGTTGGTATATGACAATGACAATAATTGTGATATACATACTGATCTTCTACCAAACTAATTTCTTCATTAAAATGTCACTGCTTCTCCAGATTCCACTTCACTTTCTAGATGTGCAATCATCTAAAAGTATTGATATTTTTGTTTGTTACTTTTTCATATCTTAATGCATTCTCAGGAAATTCCAAAAACAATATTCAGTAATAACAGTGATATTGGAGCTTCTTGTTTACTTAGAGATTTCTCTTTCAGTATAATACTAGCTTTGCTTTAACAAACATCTTTTCACTGAATTCTTCTCTCTTTCTTCTTTCCTATCAATGGATGTTAAGCAGCTATATTTTTCTACATACAGAGTGCCTGCATTTTCAGGTCTTTGGCATATTTCTTTCTCCTCTCAAGCAAGATCTATTCCTGTGGGGAGAGAGATGTTTTGAAGCCATAAACTACACCCAATGCAGAAGAAGAAAGTCTAGATTTTCTTCCACTCACCTTTAGGCAGCAGTGACTTACCGTGATGGCCTTGATGCACTCAAGGGAGGAGGTTCTCTTCACACAGTTCAGAAGGGGACCATCCGCTGGAAGGACTTTTTTCATATGGTCCTGGAAACTAGAGCACTTTCTGGCCTCATCATCTGACACCATACACCATCTCACAGTTCTCTCAGGGACAGCCAGACACAGGCCTGTGGGAGAGAGACAGGCCAAAGGCATAAGAGATATCCAGAACTCATCATGGTAATGGGTGAGCTGTATGTAGTAGGCACAAACTGAATCAACTCCATGGCTCACAGGAATTCTTAGGGTCTATTTCTCTGCTTATGCCCTATTCCTGTTAAAGGCATCCTCAAGAAGTTTAACTTGGAATTATCATGTGACCCAGGAATTCCACTTCTATATACCCAAAGGAATTGAAAATAAGTACTCAAGTAGTTGTACACACATGTTCACAGCAGCACTATTTGCATTAGCCAAAAGATGGAAACAAACCAAATGTACATCAGTAGATGAATGGGTAAGCAAAATGTGAAACATACAACTGATTGTTTTTCAGCCGTAAAAAGGAATGAAGTACTGATACATGCTGCAATGTGGATGAGCCTCAAAAACATTACACCAAGTAAAATAATTCAGAGACAAAAGGTCACGTATTATGTAATTCCATTTATATAAAGTACCTAGAATAGGTAAATCCATAAATACAGAAAGCATGTTAGTGATTGTCAAGTGCTTGGGACAGAAGGGGTTGGGAAGTAATTGTTCAATAAGAATGGGGTTTTCTTTTGGGATGATGAAAATATTTGGGGACTAGATAGAGGTAATGGTTGCACAAGACAATGAATTATTAAATGTTGGCACTGTAGGATAAGCACTGGACTGCTAGCCACAAGGTTGGCAGTTCAAACCCACCAGACACTCCTTGAAAATGCCATACAGGGTCTCTATGAGTTGGAACCAACTCGACAGCACATAACAAATGAATTACACACTTTAGAATGGTTAATTTTATGTTATATGACATTCATTTCCAAAAGCAAAAAGAAAAACTATGGGAAGGAAGTCTTGTTGTTACATGCCATCAAGTTGGTTCTGACTCATAGTGACCTTGCATAGTGTTTCCAAGGAGCAGCTAGTAGTTTGAGTCACTGACCCTGAGGTTAGCAGTCCAGTGGCCATCCTACTGAGGGTCTGGTGATTTAGTCTTTCTTTTGATATTAAATCCTCTAAACTTAAAACCAAAAAATCAAACCATTTGCTATCAAGTCTGTTCTGACTCATGGCAACCCCATGTGTGTCAGAGCAGAACTGAGCTCCATAGGACTTTCGATGACTAATTTTTCAGAAGAAGATCATCAGGCCTATCTTCCAAGGTGTCTATAAGTAGACTTGAAGCTCCAACTTTACAACAGAGTATGTTAACTGCTTCCATTACCCAGAAACTCCACTTTAACTGTAAAAATATTCTCCTCCTTTGCAATGGGAAGGAGAATCAAAATCAGCAGACCAAGGCCAATTCTATGAGACTATGCCTCCACCCTCTAACCCTGTTATCAATTCTGATACCAAGCATCCGTTTCACAGCATTCTCTACTTCTCTGCTGGGTTCAGTAGTTCATTGCAGTGGCCAGACAAAACTCACAAACAGTACTCATAATTGGGTTTATTAGGAGCTCTGGTAGCGTAGTGGTTACGAATCGGACTGTAAGCCACAAGGTCAGCAGTTCGAAACTACCAGCGGTTCTGCAGGAGAAAGATGAGGCGGTCTGCTCTCATAAAGATTTACAGCCTCGGAAACCCTGTGTAGGGTCGCTATGAGTCGGAACCGACTCCACAGCACATAACAACAACAACAAGGGAAGCAACAGATTACAATTCAGGATCAGAAATGACTCAGGATACAGTTCTTCAATCAGGACAGCTTCTTTTCAGCAGTGCCCACAGACATTATTCACTCTGGTCATCTGCTTCTCTGGGCCCTGTGGCTTCTTGGCTTCTGCCCTGCTTACACAAACATTACAAAGTTCTTTTAACTGGGCTAATCATTGTTCAAAGGCACCTTACTTGGCCAGCCAATCTCCTGTCCAAAGGCACTTAGCTTTTTGTTCTTGGGTTGGTGACCATAACCTAAGAACAAAAAACTAAGTGCTTTTGGTGCACGGAGACAGCCCAATCTGCAAGCAAGCCTCCTGCCCAAGGCACTAAGCTTTCTTGCTTGGTAGGATGGGTGGCCCATTGCTCTGTTTCCTGCTGGTCTCTTGGTTCTGCCTCTACTTGCCAATGCTTCTCTGTCATGGCTTCTCAACATCTTTTGCCATCTCTGGTGTCACAGCTCTTTGTCTCCTGGATCAAGGAGATCTCCTGGACCAAGGGTACATTCCTGGATCTCAGGATCAAAAGACTCCTGGCTCTTTTTTTCTTGATGGTAATAAGATCTTTGGCTAGAAGGAGAGGACCATATTAAATTATTCACAGTACCTCAATGACTTCTCCTGGTACTAACTACTGCGTTATTAAAATTAGTGTTCATTTATTTCACTGGCATTTTAAGCCATAGCACTTAGTGCTGAAGGAGGCCTACTGGCAATGAGTTAAACATTGGGCTGCTAACCCCAAGGTTGACAGTTCAAACCCACTAGCCATTTTTCAGTAAATAGATGAGGCTGTCTGCTCCCACAGAGATTTACAGTCTCAGAAACCCTAAGGCAAAGTTCTATTCTGTCCTATAGGGTCGCTATGAGGTGGAATCGACTCAATGGCACTGGGTTTGGGTGATGGTATAGAGAGCATTTGAAAGGCAAAAATGCGGTTTACAAATCTGCACAATTTGAACAAATTTTATTTTAAATGAAATTTAGAATATGAAAATTTTAGCAAGAATAAGTACTGATAAGCCTCTGCATGTCAAGCAGTAGTCTAGCCAATATTACCTTCCTCTAGTCTTTTCATTTGTCCTATCAGGTACATCTTTTTGTTCCTGTTTTATAGAAAACATTAAAAAAAAATTTAGGGACATTAAATAACCTGAGCTAATATTTGAAGTACCTTAGAATCTAAAATCTGTGCTGCATTTTAACTGCCTGTACATGTTGTTGTTGTTAAGTGCCACTGAGCCGATTCTGACTCATGGTGACCCTGTATAGGGTTTCTGAGGAGTGGCTGGTGACCTTGAACTAGCGACCTTTGCAGTTCAAATGGCTTTGCAGTCTGGTGCATTAACCCATAGCACCACACCAGGTGCACAGTAATTATCAAACAAATGGGACAGGAGCTGTCAAATTACCTTAGACCTCATGCCCCAAACAGGGAGTAATAAATGGAGGTCCTCAATTTCATTTGCAAAAGCTTTGATAGCATGGTACAAAGAACAGGCAAGGGGGTGGAATTCTACAGGTCATGTAACCATTGCAGAACAGGTATGTTTGAAGTAATGTACCTTATAGGTGCACTTTGATCTCAAAGTACGTTTACTCTAGCTAGTATAGATTGCTAAAACATTTTGGGCTTAAAGATGATGGCTAACAGTAGAGACAAGACAATTCCATAAATGGAAATTGCTTTGGGAACAAGTAAGTTACGCAAACAGCTTTTTTTTTTTTTTTTTTGAGGTTTTTGTTTTGTTGTTTTAAAGGCATGTGCTCTGGCTATTTGCTTTTGGGGGTCCTTAAAGGACTGAACTGACCTGTAGGTAATATGATTACCTGTCAGTACAGTCTAGTACTCTTTATAAATAAAACAACAAAATTCAGTATCCAACAAGGCAAAATTCACAGTGCCTGGCAACCAGTAAAAGATGAAGAAGCAGGAAAACGTAACCAGGGATAACCAGAAGGAAAATCAGTCAGTAGAAACTGAATGAGATGATAGAATTAACAGAAAATAGCTCAAAACAGCTAGTTTTAATGTCACTATATGCTCAAGGTTTAAAGGAAAATTTGAATATAATGAGAAGAAGGATATGATAATAAAAAGCCAAAAGGAATTCTTACAGATGAAAAATACAATATCTGAAATGAAAATTTCATTGGATAGAAATAACAGAAGATTAGATACTAAAGAAGGAAAAAAAGGTGAACTGGAAGGCATATTAGAAACTATAGCAATTAAACACAGAGTGGGGAGAAAAGACTAAAAAATAAATGAAGAGTCTCAGCGACCTAAGACTTGTGATTTAATATATGTGTAATTGTAGTTCTGGTAGCGTAGTGGTTATGAATGGTGCTGCTTACCTCAAGGTCAGCAGTTCAAAACTACCAGCCATTCCACAGGAGAACGATGAGGCTTTCTGCTTCCGTAAAGATTTAAAGCCTTGGAAACACTATAAAGGGTTGTTATGAATTGTAACCGGCTCCACACTATGACCACTACAACACACTACCAGCACCCCCACCAACTGTAGTTAGTTCCAGAAAAATAAGGGGGAACAGGGGCAGAAAAAAAATATGTGAATAATTGGCCAGAATTTTTCTACATATCATGAAAATGATACACACAGTTACAGTGAAAGAGAAACAAAGACAAAGATAAGAAATATTGACTTTCTGTCAAAAAATGACAGAGACCACTGACAATAGAATAAAATCATTAAAGAGCTAAAAGCAAAAGAACCTGGCAACCTAGAATTCTAGGTTCAATATAAACAACTGTCAAAAAGGAACACAAAAATAGACTTTTTCAGACAAATAAATGTTGGGAGTGTAGAAACAGCAAACTTGCACTATAATAAATGTTAATGGGTGCCAGGTCTGTATGGTTTAATTCTATCAAACACTTCAGAAATAATACCAAGGCTAAACCAAATTTTCTAGAATATAGTGGAGAAAGGAAAGTTTCTATCTGAGTCACATTTACTAGTACCAGCATTAACCTGATACCAAATCCAAAGAATGAAAAAACAAAAAAACAACAATAAAAGTTACAACCTAATATCCCTCATGAACATAGGTACAAAAATCCTTTACAAAATATTAACAAATTGTGATGTAGCGAGTTATCTAATGGCTCTTCTAGCCATAGTTTGTAACTCCCACCAAACATTTCTGCCATGCTCGGTATGGGATAAGAAAAGGTGAAAGAAAATATGGATAGGATGACAAAATTCAGCTGTGTATGTTACCAGAGTTCATTGTTAATTATAAAAACTTGGAATCTGTAGCATGGAATTAAAATGGGCCATCATGGAA